AGATTATGCTCACATCTTTCAACAGGAATCAACATACAGGCTAGCTGCATGTCTGCAAGGCATTGATCACAGTTCAGGGTTCAGTATCTGGTTCCATCGGCCCTGCCGCTCGCCAGCGGGTCCTTGGTAAAACCTTATGAGGTTCGCTGAGGCTACGCCATGCCAAGAATTTGCGATGATGAGCTGCATGCTTCATGACGTCGCTTCAGATGCCTTTTGATACATGCAAGATCTGTAGAGAACTTCTTTGCAACATCTGCCTTTGTGCCAGCAGAACATGTTTGCATGAGTTCGTGAGAGAGTATCACGTCCAGTTCACTGGTGTTCTTGGTGCAGAGTTGTGTTGAACCTCGCTGTGCTCCAAGAAGCTTGCTTCCGGACCGTGCGGCTACGGGGTCTGAACTTTCCCACATCTGCTGCACGAGAAAAAAGAACATCTCTGATTTGGATTGTCGCAGCTTCAGCTCAAGGGCTCTTCTTCGCGACAAGTAGACATGGACCCACAGGAATGGACCCACAGGACCATGAGAGCTTCTCATGTTCTGATTTTTCGAACGACAAGGTAGTGCAACCTTAACATTTTTGGCAGCACTGTTACATCATGCACCTGTGCCTGCGTACTGCTTTCCGGTGAATCTGCTGTACATGATCATGGACCTGCGAGGTTTTTCAATGTCACCATGTCCTGCGCGGGCAGGTTTTTCCAAAGGGTCTCACCCTAAGTTCCTCCGACCGTCGTCAAAGTTGGGACATCTGGGCAAAGCTGTCGGTGGCACCGGTTCCGTGGAAAAAACAGCAGCAGATGCAGGCCACTGGCATTCGGGCACGCATTTCGAGCTGAACAGTTTTTGCTGTGTTGCCTGTTTGTGGACTGCTTGCGAGTGGCCATTCATCTCTAAGTGTAGGAATCTGTGGAGGATTGAAGCAATCCCCAAGACTCCCAGCAATCTGGAACAAAGGTCATTTTTGCACCCATCGATGAGCTTGGCTGTTTTTTGGATAGCTTACCATACCTGAAACTGCCGAGCCCCGGGCATGCGCCGGTCGCGGAGCAGGAGGTATCCGGAAGATGAAGGAACCCGGGACCCAACTTCTCGAGCCATTTTTTGTCTCCCTTTGTTTGAATGGAAGGACGGACCCGAGCGCGGCTCAGAAGGCGGCCCCCGTCGATGTCGCCGGTGTACAGGCACTGTACAAGGGGCACACCTGTGCTTTGCCCCTTTTTTTTGGTCCCTGTGTCAAAGCACGGCTTCTTCGCGGCTCAGGTCCCCCCCTCGGAGGCGGAGGCGGCGAGGCCACGGCCAGGCAGGAGATTCACCGACAAGACTCGCGTTTTTTGGTGCTGTAGAAAACCAGCCCCTTCTGCACAGGGTCGCCACCGACGCGATGCCTTTCGGGACGATAGTTTTGACTCTCAGGCGGGGTGCCTGTCAGCAGCGTAGCAATCACATGCCCCGCAAGAGCTGGGCGTCTGGTTGCTCGGTTCGTTCGTGTTCCTTCCGCGTAGCGTATACCAGAGGCAGATTTCGACAGCCGCGCTAGGCCGCGGCATTGTGTGTTGCGTTTGATTTCGGCGCGAGCGCGTGATGACAGCCGTCTTTTTTTTGTGCAGGTCGCCTCCGAACACGGGGGTGAACGTAGCAGTCCAAGTGTCAGTCCAGCCTTCTCCCGGGCTCATGCTTCGTGCGACCAAGGCCATACCGCTCGGACGTCGACATGACTCCGAGGACCACTCCGTTCTCCTAAGCTTCGAACTGCGCGGAGTGTGCCCTGGGCAGGAGGAGACCGAGGCCAGGGTCTGGATCCTCCACAGCGATGCTGCCAAAGTCATCGGCAGAGGAGGGCGAGCCCTTCGGGAGATCGAGAACAGGACCGAACAGAGCCGAGCGCACCATTTCTGTCCCACGATGGCTTGCTTGCCCTTTCTTAGGACTCGCACCAGAATCAAAGTGTCCAGAGAAGAGGACATGAATCCAGATACCAAGGCCGAGACCTTTGGAGTTTGCTCCCCAAAAACATGCGCTTTAATTGGCAAAGGGGGTTCTATCGGTCATAAGAGGTGACTCGATTCCTGTGGAGAGGTAAATGCCCACCTGTAGAGTTTAGAGCCACTGCTGTGATGCATGCGGTAGAAGGTGCAATGCAATGCCAGAACTCAAAGCTTAGAATTGGCTGGCAAGTACCACAGCACGAGAGGCGGAAACCCGGAGAAGCCGTTGCGATGATTTTTCCTTGCTGAAGCCGTCGCAACAACTTAGTTTATCAAGTAGAGTCTGAGAGAGAGAGAGAGAGGTCAGCCCCGAAGCTGAAGTTCCTTTCACACCGAGCTGGGGGATAGCTAAAAGAGCTGCCCTCAGAAGACCTGGAACACGGCTGCGCGCAGCGCGTGGGGGGGGGTTCCTACGGGTGCACCCNNAGAGAGAGAGAGAGAGATAGATATAGAGAGAGAGAGAGAGAGGGGTTTCGAGGAAGTTTCACGGTCTTGGGCCAGGAACGGTCCGTTGACATTCTTGGATCTCGGCACGGCCAGGACACGGCAGAGGGCCCCAGGAGAGGAACACCAAGCGTTACAGAGCGTTTACGGAGTGCGGTTCTGTCAGAACCAGGCTGTTGACTACATACTGGACGTGGTGCTGTACTGTGCGCTGCTGAGAGAAGCAGGAGGGCGGAGGGCAAGGTCCCGTCCCAGAGAGGGGACCGCACCGAGGCCGCCAAGACGGTGGCCGGGTTCTGAAGGCCCCCCTTGGGCCGGGCGCTCGCTTGTCTCGCCTTCTTTGCAGCCGCCTCGCGCAGGACTCCCGAACGGCGCCCCTCCGCGAAGAAGAGGCCCTGTGTGCACAGAGAGACTGCGTGCCGATTCGCAGATGCACATCACGGAGTGAAAGCGCAGGGCACGAAGGGGAGCCATCGCATCCTGACGGCCTGAGCCCCGAGCTCGCGAGGATTCGGGGTGTGGGGAAGAAGAGAATAAGAGATGATGCATGTGAAGGGGGGGGGGGGAGAAATCTCTGCAGGTGCTGGCCGAGGAAGTTGGCAAAGTGCTCGGCAGGCCTGCGCTTCGCATCCGTCAATGTGGTGTGTGTGTGTGTGTTGAGCCTCACCGATCTGCAAAGGAAAGGCGAGACGGTCCGAATCATCGAGAAGGCCCTACAGCCGTACAGCCGACTTGTCGGAGGACTCTTTTCACTGCTCCGAGCAGCTGAGGAGTCGGGGGCCAAAGTCGAGCTGGACAAGGCCAAAACCGTTCTTGGACGGACGCCCTTCTTTCTCCCTCCGCTCCCCTCTTCTTCATGCAATCTTCCAGGCCCAGGGGAAGGTGGAGATCTTCGGCAGCGCTCAGGAGCAGGCGCGGCGCGCTGATTTTATTTTTGTGGTGTTCAAAAAAAAGTGCTCTTACGGGGGAACAGGGCTGCAAACCCTAAAAACCCTGCCCCCTCCCCCTTTGTCCCTTTTGTCCCGAGGAGAAGGCCGTGGAGCTCCTCTTGGCCGAAGTCCACTGGGCTCAGTCCGAGGACGGGACGGCTCAGACCTCAGCCAAACGGGGCCTTGACTGCGTCTTCTTGTCGTGGTCGCTGCTTGGGGATTGAAGCGAGCCTACGCTGGCATAGTTTTGTCTTGCAGCCTGTATTCCGGCGCTCCAGCTTCGATTGTGTGTTTCTTCATGTGGTTTCATGCGGCTCCACTGCCGCCACTGCCCATCGTCTCGTTGAGACCAGTGTCTCTGCTGTTGCGGACACAACCTGGGACAGTGTCCCAGCGTTGCGTGTCTTCTCAGTCTCCCATCCAACGCAGGCTCCGATGCGGCTCGGGCATCCTGTCAGGGGCGGCGCAGCCGGGTTTGTGTTTTCCTTTTTCCCAAGCCTCGACTCGCGTTCGTGTGCGACCGGCGCGCGCTGCAGCGTCCCCAAAAAAGCCGAGCCCCCCGACCTGTGAAGCGGTTCCGTTGCCCGTGGACCCTCCCCCCCCCGCCCACATGCACTAATTATCCCCCTAACCCTAAGCCGGGGGCGCTTTTTTTTGAGGTCCTGAAGGATGAGCCCCGGCCAAAGTTCGGGCCTCGGGGGGCATCCGCGGATTCGTTTTGGGCTCCACATTGCTCTCCTGAGAGGCAGCGGAGCGGGGACGAACCGGAGCTCCCGGCTCCCGCCCAGCCGGGGACTTTTTCTGTGTTTTCTGCGAGACGTTCGATTCCTGAAGAAAGCGGAACTTCGGTCGCAGGCTCTGGGTGAAAGATCGGGAAGCGGGAAGAGCAGGGACCCCCAGCAGGGGCCTGGTATGCAACGTGTGTGCACATCGGACATCATGGGACATATACCACGCCCATGGCCCGTATATTGTGCCTATA